ATCAGTCAGTCGGTTACAATGAGTACGTTCATCTACAGGAAAGCATTACTCTTTGGTTTTTACTAGATTTGAAGAGCACTGCGATTAGTTTCTTTATAAATTTCTCTTATTTCATTTATCGCTTAAGTTAGAAATATTACCAAAATTTGGGAAAACATAATGCCTGGCGTTAACTTTTGTAAAACAGCCAAAAAACTGATGCAGTTAAAATAAATCTATTTATTTTGATATTCTTTCCACAAAAAATCCTGTACTTGTTTTATGCCCCCACATGGAAGGTCTAAGTACTACAGGTGACACGTGCTATTTAAAATAAAAAGTCCAAGATGGCAGCTTTCGAGAAGCGAGTTGTCATGTATTTAAACAAAAAAAATGTTTGTTTTTCTATTAAAATAGCATTAAATGAAGTAATGCAGCAAAAAGAATACAAGCACATTTTATGTGTCAGTAAATCATTAGTTTTAGTAAATTTCTTAATTTAATTTGTGTTAAATAACAAATGCAAAGAATTCCTCATCCAGCATTAGAATCTAACATTTGTGGTCATATAAATATTTAGATTGATATTTTCTTGAAGTAAAATTTTCAAAGAGTATAAGATTCTATTATTTCTTCTGACAAGTTACTTATCAAATTTGTTGCAAAGAAACAGCTTGTCATTGCCCCAGAGGCGACATTTGCATAAATCTTTCATGTTCAAGGATGTGATCAGCTGATGCCATGCATGTGTTGTGTTTTTTGAGAGCACCAGCAATGAAGTTTGATATGGACGTTTTATGGGTGTGTTTGATTAAAAAAAATAAAAAAAAATAACTTAACAGTGAGAGTTATAAACTCTCCTCTGTCTTCTACTGACTTCTGGATTTAAAGCCTGAAGTGACAATGCGTGTGCATCTCGTGCTGCTGCAGATCTTTATTTTCCCACTCCATGCTGGCAGCGCCTGTCGTCAGGCAAAGCTCCAAGCCATTTCCCCTCGATGCATCTCGACTGAATCAATAGGGCCCCTCACAGCGTATCATTAGACATAAGTATTATAATTACTTGTGTTATTAATTTTGCCTTAATACCAGGGATAATATGATATGTAATTCAACGCTGTTGAGGGAAGAGAAAATAAGATGATCACAAATGCATCTCTTATGAAAATCAATGCTGAAATGGATATTCCAATAATGCCAAACCACCGCTGCAGTTGTTCCCCCCTTTCTTTTACTTCATGCATATCAACCAATCATTTTCTGCTCTCATCTGGAAAAAAATATATAAATACCTACAGCGTATTTCACATGGCCTCCTAGTCCGAGGCAAAACAATATGGATTTGTGTTGCCTCACAAACAATTTTAATAAAATCTATTGATTGGGGATCGAGCAGATAGCCTGTGGGCGCAGAGCACCAGACCCCAGTGGCTCAAGATCATTAATGTCCTCAACTACTGGCTTCACCGGCGCAAATTTCTTCAATAAGCGGCCGGCACACGGGCTTCAGGGTTTGATTTTTAAACCAAGGTGTGCGTGGCTCGTGCATGAGCTGCATAAATCAAGACACGTTTAGCAGAAACGTGTTTGATTGTGTGTTGTTGTTGTTTTATTTATTTATTTTTGGCTTTAAGAATACACACATTACTCCCATTTTGAGCATACATGGCACCTGCAGACCAAAGACCTCAATTCACAAACAAAGCAACAAATCAACGCACAGTCTCATGATAAGGGTTAAAAAAAACAGGCATATGATCTGCTTCAAGTCAAACAGCAAAAATTTGTGCAGATTCAGGATCTACACTTGCATTCCCTTTTCCTGAGCAGGTATAAAAACCTTGCTTCTGCAAGACAGTTTTAATTACCAGCTACTTTCCGTGTGCTTATGATTTCAATTTTTCCCTGCAAAGCCGCTAATGATATTCAAACCGCCTGCTGGCTACTCCGACTCCTTATTCTCCCCTTTTCTTTCCTTCCCACTGAAATGTGAATACTTAAGTTTATGGGCTTATTTGTCCTACAGTCACTTTGTAAAATCTTTTTTCTCTTTCTCTCGCTCTCTCTCTGCCCAACACGACTTTTTAAACACAAGCCTCCCTGGAAGGGATGGTAATAAAGGTTTTTGGGTAGAAGGTTTGGTGGGGATCAATGTGGAATATATTAGCCTGCGCTGCCGAGACCGACTTCAATAATACAAGAATTGATCCTCTGAAGTGAAGCTTTATTCCGAGCGCTGGCATAGTAAAGGCAAAAGGAGGATGGTCCATTCCAATGCTGCGTAGACCAGATGGAGAATCACAGCAGGCTTTTTCACCCTCCCCCAAATTTTTCACATTGCATTTTCAATCCGGCGTTAGATGCAATCACACAATTACTGAGGGATTTCTGTTGAAGCGAATGTAAGACAAAGAAGCATGTCCAATAATACAGCATATGGAAAAACATATTCAGCTGGCACTACTTTAACTGCCAACTGCAAGAATGTGGGAAAGGGTGAAGAAAAATAGATGGAAATAAATGAAACAGATTTTTCAGAAAACACATAAAGATTACTGGAAGGTATTAAGTGTGGTATTTGTGTGCTTAGTTAAATTTCGACTAATTTCCCTTTGAATATCATGTTTTCAAAACAGAAGCCACTAATATTTCCATTAGTCGCCGGACACATCTCATCCCAGCAGTGTCTCGGCACGCAGCCGTCGGTTTGTCAAGTGCGGGCGGTAATCAAGCGTGAGGGCTGGATATATAACGAGCACACTTCACAGTATGCCTAACAAGCACACTTCACACACTAATCAGCTCAAGTAGACTTGCGCTGCATCCGCATCTCTGCGTTTGTTTTCCTCCCGGCTTAGATCATGAAAACTGCCTGCATGGTATCAATAGATTTGGCCATCACTGATTTTACTAAGAGCACACTGAGGTGTTGCATGGACGGTTCCTGAGGTGATTAAAATAAAGTGCTGGATGCGAGGAGGAGGTTAGAAGAAACAGAAGAGATAAACATACACACACTCACTACATGTATTGATCTTCCTGCAGGAAGCTTGAGGCTCCGCTCCTCCTGACAAGGCAGCAGAGTCAAAATAATACACACAAATTATCCTGCCTCTCAAATTTGGGGCCATAAATGGTCTCTCCTGAGGTACCATTTGAGTTATTATTCTACAAAAAAACAACATAAATCATCAGGAATCTGGCTGGATTTAAGGGCTCTCAACTTATGAGCAACCAACAGGTCAAAGTTCACACCCAACAAAGAAAACAAATCTAATATTAAATCACAGATAAGAATCAACTGTAATGAACACACATAAATTAAATGTAATGTAAACAAAAGTAAAATGTACATGAAAGAATTACTTATAACCTCACTTAAAAGCTATAAGTACAATAATATAAACAAATGCAACATTAAGGAAATATAACACAGGGCATAAATGTCAAATTAACCCATAGGCATAAACATAAGTAGATTAGAAAAGCGTACACAAATCAAGATTAAGATAAGAAGAATGAAGCCCAACGTGAGAAATCAAATGTTACGTAAACATAAAAAACAAATAATACTATACACAGTATAAAATAAATGATAAGAAAACATCAACAAATTACAGGTAACCATTAATTCTGAACACATATTTCAGTGATTCAGGTATTTGAGACGCATCTGACAGAAGCTGGTATGAGCCCTAAAAGATTTCCTCAAATAAAAAATAAAGCTGCTATTTTTTTTGCTCTATTTCAGAAAATAGCCAGAGTCACGTACTATGTCATAGTGCAAATACAATTCTAAGGCACCAGCCTTAAAATAAAGCTGTTGGTAAACTGAAGAATGAAGCTACCCTCACTAATAGAAGCAGACAGGACAGACACCATCCCATCCTGTAATCCCATCAACTCGTGTCATACAGCAGGCAGGCCAACCCTATATGTGAGGCCTGTAATCCTGTAGGGCCAAGACTTCATAAAGAGAGCCACTAACACAGGGAAACACACAATCTGTCCAAACAGGGACACGATGGGAAGCTTCAGCCAATTTGTGCCTAAATGGAGACTCCTCATAAATGCAGAAAAGCACTTATGTCCAACTATAGGACTAAAATTGACTTAATAAGCGGGGAAAAAGTCACAAAAATGACAAACCGAAAATAAAATAAAATTCTTCCTAGTAAAAGAATACGTCTTGAAAGTAGCATGAGTATAAAAGCTCTGAGCCCTCATTTCTTTGCTTAGAAACTAAAATATGATTTTAAATCAACAAAATAAAAGAACAAAACACAAGATGATGGACATGCGTAAATTCTGCTGTCAGGGCAGTCAATCAATTGGCAGTGCAGGGGAACAATGTGTCCTATTATTATTCAGACACATGCAAAAAAAAAAAAAAACAGCGTGAATAAAAGAAATAAAGATCGAGATTTAAAAAAAAAGCCACGTCGGACAAGGCACCCTGGCTTGTTTCTTCCTACATAGAGAGAGCGGGAGAGAGAGAGAGAGAGAGAAAGAGAGAGAGAGGATGAGACGACGGGAGCAGGACCCACACGGCGTGGTTCCAGCCAATTGCGTTCCAGAGAAGTGACCATGGCCAGTGATAAACAAAGCACCATAGATCACTCCTCCCGCAGACGGAGCCCGGCACCGGAGGCGGCGGAAGGCAGGCAGAGCGGCGGGTCAGACAAAGAGGCAGACAGCGAGGAGAGAGGACGGCAGAGAGCTCACCAACTGCTCGCATCTGCCCCTCTGCTCGCCTCTCGCGCTTCAATTTGACGCCCTTTTTTTCCCCTCTAACAATCGGAATGCCGTTAAAGCCGGCCGAGCTGCACGGCTGCAGCTTTGCTCTCAGTGGCGAGAAAGAACAAGACAAGCCACGGGGAGAGAGGGAAAAAAAGTGCGGGAGCCTCATTCTCTCTGCTGCCGCTATGCCGATGCATCATAAAGAGATAAATCCTTTAAAAAAATAATAATAATCACAAAAGACTTATTTTCTAAAGGAAAAGAGGGCATTCGGCACTTACCCACTCCCAGGCGAAAGACTCAGATTCAGTGCTCATTCGAGCCCAGTGCGCGTCAGAAACAACAGATATTCCTCCAAAACAGATGTGCAAAGAAGGAGCAGTGAGGTTCTCCCTCTTTTGTTTGTGAGCCTGCCTTGCTAGGTTTTTTTTTTCTGTTTGCATCAGCTGGCTCTTTACAGCTTTGAAGCAGGTGGATGACAAAAACATCAATCTCTCCAGGCACATTGTGTGGCATCATGCACGCCTTGACACACTCCCCTCACCAGCTCTATACAGTATAATCACACATTGTGTTCTCCCGCTCACTGCTTCAGGAATGAACACCGGCTCAAAAGGAAAGTGAAGGACAAGTGTGCAATACTGCTGTGTTTTCCGTTGTAATAAATTTCCATTGGATGAGAAGAGACATTTTCTGAAGTTTAATTAGCCAAATGTAAGGAAAAGTTGAGCAGGACATTTGCTTTGAACGTCTGCGTTCAGGTTATGAAATTACTCTCAGGAGGTACTTTAGATCACTTGCTGAAAATCAGCCAATCACAGGGCTGCAGTTTCTAGCACATTTTGGTATCTGAATGTGGTGAGAGAAACCTAATGAAGTTCAAAATACAGAAAAAGATCTATAAGACTGAATGTATATTTGTCCGAGTGGACTGAGCATTTCAAAAACTATTAATCTGCTTAGATTTTCACTCAAAACCGTTTCTAGATTGAATATTTTCTATCAGCCATTGAATATGATAGAAAGGCAACAGTAGCTCTATTTATGAACTATAAAATCTCTGAACTTAGTTGAACCCTGAGGCAGATGTGCTACAGCTTCAGAAGATGACAATGGGAGCCACTTTTATCTGCTATAGAGGCCCTGGTTACACAACGTTTCCAAAAATGTTTCCTGCTGTGTAAATGAAAAAGAGAAATTTCTCTCACTCAACAGAGGCATGGAAATGCTTAAGGAGAAGATGAAATGATGCAGTGTGCATTCCAAGCCTGCAGGAGGCGAGGAAGCTTTGAAAACTTTCTGATCAACAGGCGTGTTTTGGTAAACATTGCCATGTATAGAGATGAATGTATCATTTGGTGCATACAGACTCTCTCTGAAGGCACAAATGTTCCACAAAGGCCAGGTTTATTTTGAGGTGACGCAGCTAAGACAGAAGATGGAGGTCCGCCATTGATGATGTGCAGTGTGCAGGTGATAATTGGGCCTTAATGCGCAAGATGACACAATTGATGTCATTGTCTCCAAACATTTCTGGTTTGTATTTATACAGACATGATTAGCATTAGAAAAAGTTTCACTCTGGATACTGTTGTCAAATCTTTGCCTTATGTCCAGCCAAAACCCTGTTTCTTTGTAAATGAACAACAAAACATTTGCATTTAACAGTCCTGATGTTGTCGTGTAAACCAAAGCATGAGACTGAAATTCACGCACACTATTCAAAACACAAAGCATTATGAAAGTCGAATGACTCTCGATTTTATATTTGGCATTCAGACTGAATAATTGGACTGATCCATTCAAATTGTTTGAAGAGGGGTTCAGTGAAATCATTATCGATAACAGATAACTTACTTGAAGTAGAAAGTTTATTGAAAACTGGAGTGGTTTTAGCTGAAATTAGAAGCTTAACAATCAACAATTTCAAACAACATACTGTTTTTTTTCATCTATGAGGAGTGACCTCTGAAAACCCATGTTGTTTGGGTTTTCTTTTGTTGTTGTTTTTCTAAAGGAAATCAATAAAAACATAGTTATTTCTAAAAAAAAAAAACCATTTGATGACATATAATTATATTTGATTAATAAATAAATGTTAATTCTTAGAAATATAGACCAATTTTCTTATTTAAATGTGTGAAAAAAGAAAAAGGGCTTTTATGTTTTTTGTATTTTAACATTGGTTGAGCTAGTTTATCAATAAGCTTTCTCACAGAATAGAATATGAGTTTAGCAGATGCAATGTCTATGATCCCAATGTCAGTGTATCAAACCTAAGCAGCACAGACATTATAGCAAATTTAAAAGAATGTAAAACTAAAAAGTGTTCCTTTGACCCCTGTTAAAGTCATATATAAATGACTGTGTTTCTTATTAAATTATTTATATTTAAATGTGCTGCGGGTGCTAAGATATGAGCAAGACTTAAAAAGTTTAACAAAATTTGGTCTGTTAGTATGTTATGCCTGGTATAAGACGTCTAAATCTCAGAAGTTATTTGTACTGTGAAAAAAATATATATTTTTTTTGTTGCCATCAGATCCTTCCTTTTACAGTTTTTTTTTTCAAATGGCTGCTAAATCCATGGGTTTTTGAACTTTTTGTACCATGCTTTCTAAGCCAGTTGTGGTGAGTTAGTGGGGAGAGGTACGGTAGGAGTGACAGGTGGGTTGAAGGTGGAGGTGAAATTAAGCCTGGGGTGAGCTTTGAATTCCTTCTTGTTTGCTCTAGAGATGGACATGCTGACACAAGAGATCAACCAAAAGTCTGAGTGGATTATTCAGCTGATGACACTGTGATCCACAAGAGTGGGAGCATGTGAAGGGAGCTGGGACAGATGAACTTATATGCTGCAGGGAATAGTAATGAAAGTCAGTTGGAGGAATGCAGCATGTGAGAATGTGTGTTTGCGACTACTAAATAAATCCAGAAATTACATTTTCTTTCCCCACAGTTTTCGATTCAATAAAAATAAGGTCTTGTCAGCTCTTTACTACATTAGTTCACAAAATGTACATTGATAAATTCACCACAAAAATCACTGAAATGCTTACAGTGGAGGGAATGTATCCATTTGAAAGCATTTTAACAACAATCTGACTGGTCATAGCTTAGAAATGGTAGTTGCACAGGTACACCTTGACAACTGTAAACTTGAGCTCCAAGTCAAATAGAGCATTTCCTGAAGTTGCAGTGCTTACTTGGAAAGTTGGTGATCCCTGGCAACTCATCCATCCATCCATTGTACTGGTTATCATCGCAGGGTCATGTGGGAACTGTTGCCTTTCTCTGGCACTCTGAGGACAAGATGTTGGGTACACCATACAGAGGTTGTCAGTCTGGCATAGGACAAACAACCATGCACACATAGTCATATAAGGACAAGAAAGCCGGAGTAAATGCAGAACCAAAGAATGCACATGTAGAACATGAATGATTCCAAAAAAACATGCATGATTTTGTAAAACAAAATCATGCATGGGATTCATTTCATTTCAAGAAGGGGTTTGGGGATTCACACCCAAAACCCTTCTTGCAGCAAGTACTAAAGGACACTGCTCCAAAGGCAAACCCCTTGTTCTGCTAGCGTTTTTGTAGCGATGTCCTCAAAAACGCCGACCGACTCTCTTCAAAGAAAAAAAACCCCAGCTTAACCATAATGATATATCTAGGAACATTACAGAAGCAGCCTTCTGTAATTCAAAAATCATACATGTTTTTTTGATGTTTTAAAAAATACATGTTTAAATTGAATCCCACATCAGAAATTTGCAATGCTTTCCTGCCTGATTCTTCCAAATAGCAGTACTCCAAAATCAAACTGCCATGCTATATTTAATACGGAAGTAAGGAACTAAAAAAGTGGTGAAACGAGGGCATGAACTGGCCTATTAAAGGGACTATAGAACTTCTTCAACTCAAGTTCAGATATACGAGTTAACGCGAATGCAACAAAATATTCGGCATGGACTGTTATGAAATAAAAACATTTCTCTAACATGATCAAGGTTTAGATATGAAAAAGTTGTATTAATATCGACACCCTTCTGTTAAAATGTAAGGGTGAAGTGTAAATTCCGATATTTCTCGAAGGCCCTCGAAGGCAACTGGGTGACGTTTCCTGTTTTGCTTTTTGTGGCGGGAAGCGGATGTTTTGCTATCGGTTTGGCTTTTCTCGTGTTTTCAACTGCATTACTTGAATTATAGCAAATTAGCCTGTCGTAGTTCACCCAATTAATGAAAGTTCGTCTCATTTCATGCGTGCGTGGGATTACTGACGTTTGCGTGGAAACACTCGACACTGATGTCCTTCGACAGCTGAAAGTTGCATAAACTTCAATGGAGAGCTTGTTAATACGCGACAACCCGCTACTTTTACCTCTCAACAAGAAGAAAACAGTCTATGATGGGTTCATAACCGTACAGGTGGGTATTCTCGCGTAAAAAATCAATTTTCTGTGTTAGAGGAAATGTCCAACCTGTTTAAGCATCTGCGTCAATGAAGATACTTAACTAATGTAAACAGAATGCTAGGAAATTTGACAGGTTTTTCTGTTTATTGTTGTTTTATTGATTTCGTCAAATCACAGGGAAGCAACAGAATATGATGGAAGATGTGAGGTTCCCTTAAAGTTTGCATTACTCCTCTATTTGGTCCTGTTGAAACATACAGATCATCTGTTGCAGCCTATATTCAACCCTTTTACTCTGATTCCCCAAAATAAATTCGTTTTAAACTAATTGGAATTTCAGAGTTTTGTTTTGTTCGTGAAAAAAAGAAAGCCATGAACCCTTTTCCTTCCACTCCACACTTATGCTTAACTTTGTGTTGGTTTGTCATTACATTACATTTACAAGGTATGTTTTCTCCAGGAAAGAGACTTCAGAATAAGAATACTCCTCCCTCCAGATCTCCAGCTGAAGCGGGCCAGGTACTAATAGCGTCTCCTTTCTTTATTAATAATTGCATTAAAGCCCAGGTTGATTTCATAGGGAGTGTTTTTCTTACAAAGAAGCTGCATTTGCTCCTAACTTCTGTCTCTGCAGGCTGCACTGCTGTTGGCAGCTGAAACACCTGTTGCGTGAATATGAGCACATAGTGAAGCAGGTAAATGTATAATCAGTTGCTTGTGGCATCACGGTATCAAGTGAAACGTTGTGTCTGTCATCTCTGATTAATATCTTGTCGTTTCCTGTGTATTTATCGCCATGTCATGTTGCCTTCTTTGTGCCCTTCTATTTCTTCCCCCCACTGTTTAATTAACATTGCCTGGAAAATGTCTGCATTTGTTACGTGGGCCCCTCAGGGTTATTTGGATGAGATTGATATTTCACCCTGGGCTGCAAAGTTCATTATTTTCACAGCCTTTAAGCTATCATTAATTATTTAAACGGGTGGCAGCACGCATTAATCACAAACACTGTGTTTGATTTGAACGGCTGGCTGAAGGAAAGCAAAAATAGACAGTGTCACTTCATTATACCTTCATTCAAGGATGTCTATCTCACAGAGGCTGCAGCAGTCGGTGGATCTTGGCAGTTTCATTCTGGAGTTGAAAACCGTCTTGGTAA